GCCCTACTCCAACAGAAAATCCATACAGGAAGCCAACCCTCGAAGCCTGGCGAAGAATGATGTCGAGCAAACATGGTGTACCAGGAAACAGAGAAGAGGTTCTGAGACAACCTCTGTTCTGCAATTCCTGGATCGTAGACCCGAGTGGCTCACCCTGGACACTACGCACAAAAGACAGAAGATGACTATCCTGGTGGAAAAAGGGGTGTGGCAGGTGAAACACATTTGGGCAGAAGATCGAAGACAATGGCTAACCGAGCGGTAGCTCTGAAATGAATTAAAAGGCTGCCACGCCCTCACAGAAAATCTAACACAGATTCAGAAGAGCATGCCAACACAATGGCTATCCCTCTTAAGGGAGGACTTGCCGTGGAAATCCGGGGACTGGGGCATAATCATTTCCCAGACCCGGCCTCGCAAAGCTTACCAATTTGTTTCTCGAACCAATGCACCCAGCTTCCTCTCCAACTTCTTCTCCTACCCGATCTTTAATCACAACCTACAAGAGCTGGAAGTTATGAACAAAGAACCCCAGTGTGACATGCTAGAATCCTTTCGACTGAGGAAAGTGAGGGTCACAAAAGCCAAACCCTGGATAATCTTCCAACCTGATCTCTGCATCTCAGACCTCGAATTTGACCCGAAAGAGTGGATCTGGAAACAGGGGAAATCCGGGAGAACGAGAACAACGTTCGAATACGATGTAAAATTTGGTTATGACTTAGGGTTACAAAGTACAGACCCAGATCCCAGACTCAAAGAACAATGGAGGGAGATCCTGAACCTAGAACCTACTGACCCCGTTCCCATCCCCTGGACGAAGTATGCAGTGGCTCGTAGCCCACGCATCCCTGCCCGTCAACCAATGGCTCCACAGGAGGATGAAACATGCGGATCCCAACAGCTCCAAATTATGTGTTATGTGCACAGACACCAGACCAGAAGACATACCCCACTGCCTCTTGTACTGCACTGAAGCAGCCTGGATATGGAACAAAGTTCGCGACCTATGGTCCCTCCTCTTCTCATCCCCCCCTCCCCCCACATCTCCTCAAAACATCCTCCTTCTATCCAACAGTACTGACAATCTCAAAGGCGAGAAGGAAATCTGGTTTCACCTTCTCCGGAAGCTGGCTCTGTGGGTGATCTGGAAAAGGAGGTGTACCAAGACTATCGAGAGAACTGAGGTGGCAAGGGAAGAAATGTGGGCCCTACTGTTGAGTATGACGGAAACTGAGATTCGGTGCAGATGGAGGGAGGTTACATCAACAACGAAAGTCAGACCAGAAAGGCTAGCCACCAAGAGACGTTCTTTCATTAGAGACTGGCTCCTAGTACAGGGAAAGATCGCAACAGTGGCAGATAATATATTGATTTGGAAAAAATGGCGCAGCGAAACTCCCGCAAGGATGACGACCCAGCGAGGGGCAAACTGAGACCATAGTCTCAACAATACAGACAACTCTGCTCTTTTCTTGTTGCACACAAACTACATGACAGAATCAAAATGGATTCTGAGAGGAAAAGCGGTAGGGCAAGCTGACAGTCAATGCTGGTCGGAGTTCCTTCGGCCAGACGGAAGGAAACGTGAGAGTGCTCACCATGTATTCCAATTCTCAACTTGCCGGTGGACAGGAACCGGACTGATGCTTCCCAGAATGGATATGGAGCCAGGACCATAAGGACATGTTTTTATTCTAAAAAAAAAGAAGAATTGATTTGATTTCAATTCTGTTTTGGTGTTGACTGCTTCGACTTTCTATTCCCATCATTTGGTGTGGTGTGGGTTGCACTCTCCAAGGTTACTTGTCATTGCGCATGTGTATGGGATCATGTGAATGCCATGTTGGCTCTCGTTTCAATCAGGCACATAGCAAGAAGATAGGGCAGAGCATACTTGAAAGGAACAAGACCAATATATCTCTCTATCCTCTTTTTTTTCTTTTTTTCTTTTTTAATTTGTACGAAAACCTTTTATGAAGTTTTATCTCAAAGCTAGAAACCAGGTCCAGCGCCCTGTACAATACACAGCCACTTCATGCTTGCCTTCGTTATGGCCAACGGCGGCCCAACGGACCCTGAGCTGGTGGCATTGATTGCTTCCAGCCTTCCCGATACTCGGAGGGATGCACCACCCCTGCACTTCCGCTGTATTGACTTTTCCGTTCAGCTTCGACCGGATCTACCGGGGAAACTGTTGTCCCCGAGGAGATACCTTTTTCTCTCCTCGCTCCCTTGGTCACACTTGAACTTCCGGACATCCTCCTCTTATACACATGCCTTACAACAATCTCAACTTCACTTCCTCACTCCAACACACTGCTCCCCTCTACTCATCAACACTATGCCCTAAACCCTAAACCCTAATCCAAGGCAGAGTACATCCGAACACCTCTCGGAATCAGGGTAGGGATGATGTCCATACATGATGCTGTTCACCTGGAATAAGCCGTCAGTTAAGCGAGGGGGGGGGCGGGGGGAAGGGAGGGGGAAGGGGAGGGGAGAATGAGTGAAGCAGGAGATGGGTGGGTGGCAATTGTGTAATCAATTGTTATCAGAATCCTTAAAAGTTAAACCACACGTGTCGTGCTTTTTTTTTTTTTTTCCGGTACGGTCCAGTGGACCACGGATCAGATATTAAAGTGATCAGAACAGATAGTCCACTTGATCTCAGCCAAAAGGCCAATAATTTTGGCGAGAAAGGTATATAACACACTTGTCGTACTTGGTTTTGCAATTCCAGATTTCTGATCAATGAGACTGAGACAGTTAGGTTAGAACGGTTGGTCCTACACGAGCAGTAGAGATGAGACTTCTTAGTTGTAAAATCAGACCGATTTGTTAGTGCCAGTAGTACCCGTTTAGCAGTAGTTTAGGGAATTTACAGAAATGTCCCTGTTCGTCTGAGGCAGTAATAATTCAGCAGTCCGTTTAGGCCTGAAATGAAGTTTAGGGCCAGTAGTACCCGCTTAGCACTAGTTTAGGGAGTTTACAGAAATGTCCCTGTTGGTCTGAGGCAGTAATAATTCAGCAGTCCGCTTAGGCCTGAAACGAAGTTTAGGGCCAGTAGTACCCGTTTAGCTCTAGTTTAGGGAATTTATAGAAATGTCCCTGTCGGCTTAGGCCTGTTTCAGTCACTGGCTAGGACCCAGAACTTAGAAAAATTACAAAAATGTTCCTAGTTAGTGTTGCAGCCCGCTGAGAAACTCCACGAACATTGCAGATTACCACTCTCTTGGAGTGGTCAGTCCAGTCAGTCAGTAGGGTATAGGGGTTTAGTTGAAGGAATAGGGGTCTACTCAAGACAGTAGTGGACACAGCTTTGTATCCCTTGGGTAGAGTACAGTCACTAAACCCAATCAGGCACTAATTAGTGGAAGGTAGTACATACGACCCTTGTGCAGATTATCATCCGACTTTGCTTGTTGAAACAGAAGGGTGACTTGACTCGTGTGCGGTCTAGGTACGTCTGAGAGTATACAGTAGCCTAGACACCGAGGAAGTGCAACCCAAGCAATGACAAGCATAGAATACACTTTCACAGGCCTCGGACCTATCAGTGACAATTAGAGTAGGGAGGGGAACCAACCAGTGACCTGTGTTCTAGGCTAGGGTCCAGGGACAGGTGCTCCGGGTTTGGGTTTCACAGACGTCTGTAGGGGTGAGTCAGGGACAGGATGTTCCTCCCATTTGTTACATGTTCAGATAGGCGATGAACATAATAACCGAGGATCCGCAATGTGATAAAAAGGCCTGAATGTACAATGCAGTGCAAGTAGAATCTCAAAAAACAATGTGCATTCTGATACATACAAAATGGTGCTGAATAGCGCAGGGAAGACTTAGATACAAATCCTGACCTGACCGGGACTGACCTCATTCACGTAGTACAAGATAGCGAAGCAGACTGCTAGAATGCTAATGACTAGCCCCATAAATGTTTGAACGCAGACCAAACATGCATCGTGTCCATCACAAGGTGTGAAGGAGCCTGGCGCTGTACACAGGAAGGAAGCGCCAGGTCCAGACATACACAGACGAAGAGGAGGGGATCAGACGAAGAAGAGGGGGAGAGATGGGAGTGTCGTCAACACCAAGTCTTTGTCACAGGTCCCAATTAATCTGTTGTCACAATGTCTGAAGCCCAAAAGTCAAGTCCGGATCCAATGTCACCAAGCTCTCTCTCTCTCTTTCTCTCTTAGTCTGCTGATGCAGTGAAGTCAGATAATGAGAGGGTGAGAGGGAGATGGTGGACTGAGAAGAGGAAGAAGAAGAACTCTCTCTCTCTGTCACGAGCCAGATACTAACCTGTGATGTTGGCGCTGTGCTGCAGGTACCTCGAAGACGAAGCTGGAGCAACGGTGCTGCAGGTAGGTACTCCTGGCCTCTGCCCAATCTCTCTCTCTCTCTAGTACTATCCTAGCTATGGCGCCCAGCGCTGAAGACTACAGCTACCTACTGGCGCCCAGCGCTGAAGACTAATGCTAACGCTACTACTACTCCTGCAGCGCTCCCTCCAGAGTGCTGCTGCCGAATCCTGAAGACTACTGACTGCCTCCTGCCTCCTCGTGAAGTGCATGGGAAGTCCCTATGTACTATCTCGGCCTGCCTCCTGACTGCCTCCGACTGCCTGCAGTTGCAGGGCGAGCAGTCCAGGAGGCTGCTCTTGCCAATGCCGAACTGAGCCAGGGGCTGGCGCTGCAGCTGTCGTGGGAACGGGCCAAAAATAGCCTGTTCCTAAAACCCTGGTTCGGTGCCTGAGTTTCAGGGCAGGCCGGTCTGATGACAGACCGGAAATGGCCCTTCGTTTCAGGCTAAAAAGGCTACTGCCATTTTTAGTCTGAAACAACACAGGGTCTGTAGGCCCCTGTATTTCAGGCTTTCAGCTCATTTCAGGCTTTCGAGCTGAATGGTCACGGGGCCTGTAGGCCCTGGTTTTCAGGCTTTCAGCCTGAATTTCAGGCTTTCGGCCTGAGGGACGCAGGGACTGGAAAATGGCCCTCGTGTGCAGGCGCAACATGTAACACCCCCCCCTTCTTATAAAGTCAAGCCGGGGCGAGGGCGAAGCCGACGATCTGAAGGTGGAACCTGGACGCGGGTGGGGCGTGGAGCCGAAGAGACCGGCTTGCCTTGCATCTTGCGTTCGTAGTGTGCGAGAACGTCTGGAGCTGTTGCTTGAAGTTCCGACGGGCCAACCAACGGTCAGCTCGGTGTGTGCAGTATGCAAAATGCACCAAATACTCGGTTGGCCAGTTGCCGTAGCGTCGCTGGGAGATGATGTCGCCGACCTCCTGAAAATCGTCCATAGAGGGTGGGTCTTGCGAACGTCTCCCGGGAAAATCGTCATGTTCCGCTGGCGTGTAAAGAGCCAACTTGGAGCAATGAAAGACTGGGTAGATGGGCAAGTGGGCGGGCACCTGAATCGTGAAGGAAGGTCCCTCGGGTGCGTCTCCAGACGGCACTACGATCGGCCAAGGCCCCATCCATTTCGGGAGGAGCTTGCGCGAGATATCTTGTTCAAGGCTGAATTCTGTGCCGGAGACCCAAACGAGATCACCGGTGCGGAATGGGCAAGGAAGGCGCTGGCGATTGGCCTGCTGGCTCATGCGTTCCTGCGTCTTGGCCATCTGGTCGCGTGCCTTGACAAGTAGCTCTTGCATCCGACGCAAGAAAAGAAGATGGTCGTCTCTCTTGGCCGTTCGTGGAGTGATGGTGTCCAACGACGAAGTAACCGGCGAGCCGTGCTCGAACTCGAAAGGCAATATCCCGATAGTCGGGTGGATGGAAGAGTTGTAGGTCAACTCGACATCCGGCAGCTGCTCAACCCAGTCCTTCTGGTCAGGACGGATGAGAGTGCGAAGGAGAACCTGTGCGGTCTGGTGCACCCTCTCCGTTTGGCCATCGGTCTGAGGGTGGCGAGCTGAACTGGGCTTGAGAGATGAGCCCCATCGCTTGATGAGCGCCAACCAAAAATCGGACATGAACCGAGTGTCGCGGTCGCAGACGATTTCCTTGGGGTAACCCTTGGTTCGAATCCAACCGGCGTAAAGAACCTCGGCCAACTCCGGTGCCTTGGCATGATAGCGACAAGGCAAAAACATGGCGAACTTGGTGAGTTGGTCGACCACCGTGAGAATCCCATCCACTCCGGTCTTGTGCTTGGGGAACGGGCCGGTAATGTCCATGGCAATCACTTCCCTTCGCCTCGACCGGACCGGTAATGGTCGTAACTCGCCGTACGGACGGTGGTTGCGGGATTTGCAGCGTCGGCAAACCTCGCATGACTCACAATAGCGTGTGACGTCGCCGAGAAGGCCGGGCCACCAAAATCGCTCGCGAAGTCGGCCAATCGTGCGATTGACGCCAAAATGTCCGGTGGCGAGAGCATCGTGGAACTCGCCAAGAAGCCGTGTACGCAAGTGAGGATTACTCGGTACGCAAAGAAGGTCCTTCCCCCACGTGTGGACAAGCAAGTACCCCTCTTGGATCCGGTAGTGAGAAGGCGTCGGATTAGGGGAGGAGCAATTCGCGTACTTGTCGCGAAACTCGGGGTCGGCTTGGTAGCCGCGGCTGAAGCTGTTCCGCAGGTCGTCGTCGATCTCGAAGGTTGAGTAGACCGCGGTACAATGATCCGGACGCCGTGAAAAAGTATCCGCAAAACGGTTCGACTTCCCCGGAATGTGATCGGGAAAGAAGTCGAACTGGTCGATGAAAGCCATCCATCGAGCGATGGTGCTGTTGACGGTGTCTTTGGTCTTGTAAAAGACCAACGGATTGTTGTCCGTTACCCATCGGAATTGGCTTCGACCAAGGAGGAAGTGCCGCCACCGCTTGAGCGTGTGGACGAAGGCGAGGAGCTCCTTCTTGCGTGCATCGTCAATGGAATGCACGACGGGCACTTTCTTGCTGAAATACTCGACCGGGTGCCAGTCCACACCATCATGTTGCTCGAGGACGGCACCAATGCCATAGTCGGACGCATCTGTAGTGACGTGCGTAGGCAAAAGCGGGTCATGCGCAAGACCTCCCCAGATAATAGCGCGGCTTTGAGAGCCAAAAATTATTACCGCGCCTCCTCTCCGAAGTCAAACGGCCAATCCTCGTATTGAAGCTTGGTCAAGCGGGCCGCGATCTTCGAGTAGCCTTTGATGAAACGCTGATAGTAGCCGGCGAGGCCAAGGAACGAACGAACATCCGTGACGTTGCGAGGCTCCGGCCACTCTTGGATGACTTGAATCTTGTCCGATAGCGGACTGATGCCCTCCGGTGTGACAAAATGGCCCAAGTATTCCAGCTCTTGCCGGACAAATTCGCACTTGTCACGGTTGACTTTATACTTGGCACGGCGGAGCGTCTCCAACACTCGTCGAAGATGCCCAAGATGATCCTCCAATGTCCGGCTATAGACGAGAATATCGTCTAAGTAGACCAGCATGAACCGATCCAACATTGCATGGAACTCGTTGGTCATTGCCGCTTGAAAGGTCGTCGGGGCGTTGGTGAGGCCAAAAGGCATGACCACCCACTCAAAATGCCCGTACCGCGTCTTGAACGTGGATTTGTAGCGATCATTCGGCCGGATCGAGATTTGATGATATCCCGATTTCAAATCCAACTTAGAAACATACTTTGCGCCGCCCAATCGCTCAAGAAGATCGTTGATGTGAGGAAGAGGCCCCGCGTTCTTGACGGTTTGCGCGTTGAGCTTGCGGTAGTCGATACACAATCGTAGATCCTTGTTCTTCTTTCGGACGAAGAGAACTGGTGCTCCATATGG